AGAACACAGAACTCAAAAAGTATGAACTAGACCTTTATTCATCAGTGTGGGTGGGCCTGCAAACCAGAAGTGTAGAGTGGAAAGCCCAAATTTCAGAATGCTATATATTTGTTATGTAAATGTTAAACATCACAGAAAGCAATATTGTACAGGATATAATGTTTATGAATGTGTGTGTTTGTACCTGTGTATGAATAAAAAGTGGACTGGCTATCTATTGAATTCATGATAGTGGTTGCATTTGACAGAAGAGTAGCTGCAGTAGGGAGAGGAACTTAAATCTACATTAGAAAATAATCCCTGAAAAGATACCGTTATTTTGGTTTGGGGGTTCATGGGCATTTCTAATATTGACATTTAGACTTCTATTAACATTTTCGTGATAAAAAAATTCTATGAAATATTTCCTAAGGAAATGAGTTCCAACTAGGAGCCGTACACTTACCAAGACTGGGAATGAGACTGAGGCCATTCTAATACATCTGTATTTTACGATGTGGCTCTGTGAAAATGAAAGTTGACAGAATGAATCTGAACATAGGGAAACCTCCAAGTTGACCTGGTTCTTGGGAAGTTATCATGGCACACAGGTTAAAAATAAAGACCCCAGCTGCAGACTTTGTAGGCCAAACCCTGGCTTGACATCTTCTAGCTCTGAGCTCTTGGACGAGTCAGTGTCTCTAAGCCTCAGCTTCCTCATCTGTAGAATGAGAGTAGCAGCGCCTGTCGCGGGGCTGTGGTGAGGGTGATACGAGCCTGCGCAGGTAATAGCTGTGCAGCAAAGATTAGTTATTTTCATCATCACTCCTGTCAGCAACCTCAGTTCTCTCAGTGTACTTTTTCATTTTCACGTCAGAATCTTTGCCAATGCTGTTTTTTCTGCCTAGATTGTTTTTTACTTCCACCCTAATTTCATCTGGTTAACTCTGTCTCAGAGGAGTTTTCTGAGAATTCTCTCAAATTCTTCAGAGAAGCTCCCTGATCTTCCCCACCGGGGTCAGTTCCTACTCAAACCACAATTGTCCTTTAAAAGTTACTTGTGAACCACCAGCTCACTTCTGCCTCTCTCCTGGATTGTAAACTGTTTTTCTTCTTTGCTACTGTATCTTCAGTATCTAGAACACTCTTTGGCTTAGAGTAGGCCCTGGGAAATTACTTATTGACTAAATGAACAAAGTTACCCCAGGAGGTGAAAACTTTCAGAGTTAACATTTTCAGGAAATGAATTTGACTCAATGTGCTTTGACGAAAGGATTAACCTACTGGTGTATTAGGAAATAAATCTAGGATTTATAATTTTATAAAAAATATGTATCACTTGTGTTGGTTTATTTGCGATAATAAATTATAAGGTAACCCAAATGATGATTTATGTCATTAGAGTAATTTTAGAGGCTTTAGAGGATCATCTGATGTTGGGTAGTAATGTAAGTTTATCACATATTTGCATTTGCTGTGGAAAGCAGGAAAATTTCCCACATTTTAATCTTAAGGTTTGATTTGTTTATCTGATTGTTTACCCTCAATTTAACTCACTCTTTTTTCTTTTAAAATTAGCAAAAGAGGAATTAACAAACAGGTCCTGATAGTTCCCAGGGAGCAGAATAAGCTAGGCTCAATCAGAATAAACTGATGTGATGAGCAGTGTGAAAAAAAGGGCTTTTGCAAGTCAAATGGAATGTTACGTACAACTTTTTAAAATTTTACTCATTTTTTTATTTGAGAGAGAGAGAGAAAGGGAGANTACAACTTTTTAAAATTTTACTCATTTTTTTATTTGAGAGAGAGAGAGGAAGGGAGGGAGAAACATTGACTCATTGCTCCACCCATCCGTGCATTCATTGGTTGATTCTTGTATGTGCTCTGACCAGGATCTAACCCACAACTTTGGTGTATCGAGATGATGCTCTAAAATTTTTTTAATTTTACAGTTCTTTTCTTTTTTAAAAAATTTATCTCTATTGTTGAAAGTATTACAGATGCCCCCCTTTCCCCCCAT